CCCCGCCCCTAATATTTACTCGTTAAGCTTTTCCGCGATATTACATCCGCATTGATTAGTACGACGTCTGAATGTGCGGTCATTTTGTAATTGAATTTTGAATTTCAAAATCAAATCCTCCATGATACAAAAAAGACGTCTAATAAACATCAAGTTAAATTACGTTTTAAGCCTTAAATATRAACTTTAGTCTTATATTTCCTGCCTCGAGAGGCTTCTGAGCTGGATCTTCATCCTTCAATACATGATGTTGTTATCTTATCATTCAGCCTTCACATCGGAGGTCCAACAACATGACGATTTTATTTTCAACTAAAACATACAATTTGGAGGACAAAACAATAGGTTTCCAATTCCATTTGACGTCACATGCAACGGTCTATAGCCCCTTTAGGGACGGACCATTAGATAGTTGATGGGGGGGGGGGGGGGGTTTGCGTAAATCCCCAAAAAATATCGATCGAGCAAGCATTTAAACCTCAAAAAAAATATCGTGCAACCTCTTCTGTTAGAAGAAAAATATCTAACTGTACGCAAAAAAATAACGTGCAAGGGTTGAGCCAAAAAAATAAATATTATGTAACCGAAATTCCTGCAACCCCCCATCAAAAATCTAATGGTCCATCCCTTAACTTGGAAGTATCGTTATCCTATTTCAGACCACGTGTTATTCCCTGTAGTACTATTTCTTTGTTTAAAGTGTGACTACACCGACCGAGGCCACCCAAACAAATTTTAGATCAAATTTTCTGAATCACAGGAGGATGGCGAATTAAATTGACTCTTGTTCACTCGTGATCATACACACACACACACGTATAAAATAAAATCTGTGCTTTGATATATTCAATCATGATTGGCTAATTTGTATAAAGCTTTGTTTGGGTGGCCTTAGTGTAGTCGCACTGTACCGGTTGTACATAAAAAGACACATGAATATGGACACTACACAAAGAATCTTATTCTCAAAAGAATGAAACGTGGTACGATTACGATAGAATGGTCCACAGACCCCTTGCACTGATTTCCTAGAAGACAAAGGGACAAAACAATAGGCCGTCCTTTCTTATGCAAAAAAAAAAATCCACTGTGCTGTATCCCAGAACAATTCCTCTCAGGACTCAGTGTAAGGCGAGTCTATTGCCTCTCCAAGAGTGATTAAGAAGTCGTATCGCATAGATATACGAGGCCCTAGAATTCCACACGGGCTGAGTTCGTTATGAATATTGTGGGATTATATAAACAGTGTATAACTATATATAAGAGTGAAACTAAGAAGTTTTRCAAACCGAAATCTTTATAACTTAGCTCTAAATGTTCCCTTTCTAAAATGAACTCGCTTAAATAATGTCTTGAAGTTTTACAATTTCTGTTGCAAAGTATTTATTTACAAGTTTATGTTGCGCAGTGGTGGCGAGAAAAGGACGTCAGTTTGACTGCATCTTTGTTGTCATAAATGATCTCAGAAAGTCGTGGTTTCCTCAGGCCAGACTGTTGTGTCTCGTACGAAGGTTTTTTGCTCATCTCAGATCGTTTTGGGTTCTTCAGGAACGCAGACATCATTGTCAGCCTGCAACATTTTCTGAACTTCTTGTCTTTGAACGAGTATAGACACGGGTTGAGCGCGCAGTTTGAGTAGCCCAGTAACAGAAGACTTGCGTAAAGCTTCTCGGGTATTCTGTCCAGACAAGAGAAGCAGAATGACATGGTTAGGCTCAGCACACAGAAGGGCAGCCAACAGATTATGAACCCACTGACGATAGCAGAGACTGTTTTGGCTGCCTTGAGGTTTTTCATGAACGCCTTTTGTTCAGCAGSCACTGCTGTTGTTTTCTGTACGGTATTTTCGTTAATTCCTTTAGAAATGAACTCTCCGTTGTGTCGGTACGCTATGAGGTACATTTTACCGTACAGGAACGATGTCACCATTAATGGGATGATGAAGTTAATGAACGAGCTTGCAGCGGAGTAGATGTATGTGATGTTGAACAAGCACTGTCCTTCCATCAAGTTCTTAGGATATTGCTGCAATCCCATGAAAGGAATCACAGCGAATGTAATCGAATATACCCAGATGATTACAACCACGAGTATTGCACGTTTACGTGTCATGAACTGGTACTCGCGAAACTTACTCATTGGATCACTAAGTGTCTTATATCTGTCCAAACCCACGGCCATTAGCGTTAGGATGGATGTGGGGACCGTCGACAAATAGACAGTTGCCCAAATTTCGCAGAAAATTTCACCATGACGCCATATATTGTCGGACAAGAGAAGATCAAGGTCTAAAGGCATGGCTACCGAAGCAGTGAGAAGATCACTGACGGCAAGAGACAAAATGAAAAGGTTTGTGGTGGATTTTCGTAGCGACGACCAAGAACAAATGGTGACTATTACCAGAGTGTTGCCGATCATTGCTATGGAGATGAGCGCCACGTAGAACATGCTGATTGGGTAGATGAAATAAGGCTCGGTGCCGTAGCTGACTAGATTGTTGCTTGAATTTGATTGGCTTGTTTGGTTTGCCATCATTCACTGATTGGTTATATATCCTTGTGCTTTCTGTGGAAAAAAAAGACATTAAATTAATCAGTCCATAATTTGAAAAGCAAGAGAAATCTGATATGCGACAATTGCAAAGAATTATTTTTTTGAAAAAGTTGGCCTTTTTTCAAGCAACTTCCAGACCTTACTAGTTTTAGTGAACCATCCATTTGGAAAATTGCTTTCATCAAATTTCTAAGATTTTTTCGCTGCAAGAATAAATTTAAATTAATTCTCTTTAATACAACTGTGCTGAAGTTGCACTCGAAATTTTTGGGAAATCTCGCGCACAACGGGAACTTCTTTCATCTTCCGCCACAGGACTTCATCGTTATAAACACTGACAATAAACTTTGCGCTAAGCCTTCTTAAGAAAAAGCAAAGCCCTTTGATTTTCAATTCGTCTTTCTATAGGAAATGAAAGGATTTATTGCAAAGAAATTAGATCATCAAAATGAAGATATGGTCCTTCAGGATTCGCCGCTAAAATCAGATTCAACGGTGTTATACATTGATCTTCGAGTGTGTTCGAGCGATATTGATTGTATACAAATAATCTTAAACTTGAATGATTGAAGTATGATATTTCACCCAGAGAGTTGAAATAAGCCGGCCTCGTGAAATGACACCGCTACTTATAAACCTGCAATGTAGATACAGGATGTTTTATAAGTTGCAATTGATCAGCCATTTTGCTCGGTTTTTTAAAAATGATTGATCAAAAAGCATGAAAAAGTTGTAATACTGTAATAGGTGAATTCCAGTCATGAAAAATGCTTAATATGATCTAGTCAGTTGGCTTGAACTGTACAACAATGATATAGAATCTTTACCTTTAATTTCATTTTCGTCGCGAGTCCATCCAAATCTTGAAGCAATTGAAATTTCGGAGTCGATCTTTGAGGCGAAAAAGGAAAACTTAACCTTCAAAGCACAGTAGAGAGCCAAAAAGCAACTCTACTAACATATATACGACATTTGTACAACGAGTCTAAGGGTCGCACCCAGCACGACCACAGCGGCGAGAGGCGGCGAATTAGCAACGTAACGCATTGACGCACTGTCAGTTCCAATTACAGAGAGCAAACATCCTCAAGCGAACGGTTGGATTCAAAAATACACACGAAAGTCAAAACAAAACGCCACATTATGAATAAGAACTTGCCAAAAAAATCCTAGGTCACGTGATCAGGTTAGAAAACAAGTGTCGATCAGTCTAAACTGAGTCTATCTTGTCATGTTTTATTTATTTTTTTCAATTGTTTTCAGCTCACATGATGCAATCGGGAATATTGAACAGGTAATAGGCAGCACAAAATGTCAAATCTTTAAATATTATCAAACCCTGAAACAACCTCTGGGCTGATCTAAGTCATGGCATGTTTAACTCACAGATCAAACCCTGAAACAACCTCTGGGCTGATCAAGTCAGGGCATGGCTAACTCACAGATCAAATCCCTGAAACAACCTCTGGGCTGATCTAAGTCAGGTCATGGCTAACTCACAGATCAAACCCTGCGAAGATCGAAACCGCCTGAAACAATCGCGACCTCTGGGCTGATCAAAGTCGGTGCAAGTCTCAACTCAGAGTTGAACTGGAATATTTAGTTGGTAAGGTTTTTTGGAAGGAGGAGCTTTAAAACTGAAAGTAAATATCAATTCCATTAATCCCCACCGTCATGAACGAGGAGACATACACGACCAAATTAATCTTTTATATTACGGGTTGTTTACCATAACCTACAGTTTTGTTTTTCCAAATTGTACCTTGGTTTATAATAAGATCCTACTTTAGACTTTACGATGCAAATATTTTGAAAAATAGAAACAAATTAAGATCGTRAAATTATTATTTGCTTCCGATGTTTCATACTTTTTATGCATTCAGTTCGTAAAGTGTGTCAGCCTTATTCTAAATCAAACCTAATCTAACACCACGAATCCAAATTAACAAATTCGCACAGAAGTACATTTTTTTGCCACCAAAAAATATTTTCCAACGCTAAAATCAATTTGCAATGATGTTTTGTGCACTTACTCTTAATATGTTGTCCAAATAGAGTCGCAATTGAATAATGTCCCAAAAGGCCTGAAGAAGTATCTGAAAATGAGTTATAACACGACGATAAACATGTAGTTCGCTTGAGTCAATCAACGCGTATTTTTCTAACAGTACTGAAAAAATATTTGTTCTTCGTTAACTGTATCCTGTTTTTATCACGTTTTACTGCTGCAAATGTCAGACTGGCCTGAATTTAGTGCATTAACAGCTGTTGATGAACGCTGACAAACTCTAAACGGATTTGTTTTTTATTTGTATTGATTAATTGTACGCTAAATTTTCGGTTTTTCTTTATGTTATTTTGAAAAACATCGTGACGAGGGATGAGAAAAGTTTGTTCTGTCAGGTAATTAATCTTTGGTTCTTTATTATTTGTTATTTTTATGGAGGTAAAGGAAAGTCTAGTCCATGTTTAGCTCTCTTTTTCTAACTTTTTTTTCTTTTCTTCTTCTCCTTTTCTTTCTTTCATATTTTCATTTATCATTAATTCATTTATTAACTTATTCATGTTTTTTCGTTTGTCTCATTTCCCTCCTCACAGTTTCYTTCTATTCGTATTACCGTTCTTGTTATTTTATCTTTCTTACTTTTCAACTCTTTATCACTCTTTTCTCTCATATTTTGTTCCCTTTGGTCCTCTCTACTATAATCTTCTGTCTTTCCGCTAAGCCATCTTTTCAGTCACTCATATAGTACTCTTCCATTTTCTATTTCATTTAAATTTCATTTTTGTTCATTCCATTTATTTACTATCGTTGACCCATTCTTTCCCTTTTTCTTATTAAGGCAATTAAATTCAAACTACTTCAAAGTAATATTAATATGAACTTAATTAAATGGCAGAAATCTTGCTTTTTTTTACGACTTTGATCCGCCAAGTTCACTCCTAATGACAAAAATAAGCCATCAAATTTAATTGGTAACTTGGACTCAAGATACCTATCCAACAACTATTTAATATCCTGCCTAAGACCACACACACACACACTGCGTCAAAAACCTGCCAACTCTCAAGAAAAATACATTAAACACCACTTTTAACTAGGGAAAATAAGAAAAATTGACTTCGAAAATCGAAATAACGTAAAATGGGCTGGCAAGTGATTTGTAGTGGTTCTTTAATCATGTTTAATCTTTCCAGGTTCGTGCCACGAGAAGTGCTGCTAAAAAATGAAATGATTTCCAATTATATCGATCCGCGATGTACTTTTTTTGATAAAAATTATTGATTATCTTGGATGTAAAGAAAACTGCTTCATTTTTTTTCTATCTAGAATGACACACTCATTGAGATTTATTTGGTTATTTCCTATCATAACTCGGGGAAAAAATGCAGGAATTTCAAAATAAGTTCAAAATTAAGTAAATAAATAACCTCAAANAAAAAAAAAAAAAAAAAAAAAAAAAAAGCAAACTTTGCTTCCCTCTAACAATTGATCAGAAATTAAGATTATTTATTTTTAAAAACTAATGAATGTTTTACGAATAATGATTTATTCAAGGTTTTCGGCAGGCAGTTGCATATGTTACGACTTCAAAAACCTTAAGACATTGTCTACTCAAGGTTATTTGCTATTTTAATAATATACTAATATATGAAATATATTAACTTATATTTAAGTTAATTTAATAATATTTTCTTCCAAAAAGATGGTCTTGATTAAGAAGAATTGTGCGTTTACATTTTTATTAAGTTCTATAAAGAGAAAATATATTTTTTAGTTACAGAATTTCTATGGTCCTGTCAAACAGATGTTTTCAATGCTTCATAACTTTTCGTTTCAAATAAAATATGTTTTAACTTAAATGTTTTATCTTTATAGAAAACTATAACTTTACTTCAGCGTATTTTCGATTCTCATTGTTTGCAGCTCACCTACTTTTTAAGATAAAACAAGTTTTGTGAGAGTATTTGGAACGCGTTTTGAAGACAACATTATAATAAAAGTCTAATAAACTATATGGAAAACTTTAACTCGAAGATTAACAAAAAGAAAAATATACAACCGAAAAAAAATTACTTCTGAGATTTAACTAGTTTCCTTGCTCAAAATAATATATTTATATTCATTACAATATATTTATTTTCAACTCAGCTACTATTGACTTGTGGGAGTTCCCAAACCAAATCTCATAGTCTTCGGATATTATGAAGTTTGAACGTAAATAATCAGCTAATAATTAAAAGTTGACATTCAAATTATATTATCTTAGGATAGTTTTTCGAATTTGCTGACAATTTCACTAGCCTCACTATATTTTTTCCCTCGAAAATTTTTCAATGGCTCAATTTTCAGCCATGTCCGTTTTCTCGTAAAGCGCTTTGAAATTCCTATTTTCTATTGTTATGAGAAATTTCTATATCAAAACGGCTTTGTTTTGGATTTTTAAGTAAAGTTATTGCAAGAAAAATAAAAAGCATTGTTGACCAAGTTTTTTAGTTAAGTTTCATTGGGATAAAAAGATATAACTAGCTAAAAACTATTGTGAGCTGCATCAGTGTTTCTAATGAAACAGTAATGATGAAAAGGTAAATTATACACCGTGAAAAGATGAAAAAACTTACTGACGTTTCGGACGCTAGTCCTTCGTCGGAGTAAAAGAGGATATCTTAAAGAACCACACCAAAAAAGTATACATGATAGCAAGTATATTTATGTAATATGTTTGCATATAAAAAAAAGAGCATTTATCTAACCTGTTTAGAAATCCTTTTCGATCTCGAGTAACCTCTAGAGTTTTGCTCGGTGCTCGCTCTTCGAGTTCTTTACATAAAACTGGTTTAGACGTGGACTTTTCATCACAAAGTACACAGCGATACTTTCGTACGTGATAAACGGAGTTCCGTGATAACGCGCGATCCCGCGTAACGTGAGCGATAAAAAACGATTGAATACTAATAAATGTGCTCTAGGTATTATTAGTTAGCTATGAAGCGACGACACTTCCGACATGAAAGGATTAACTACACAGTTCATAAAGATATCCTTTAACTTATGAGTTTTGACACTTTTTAGCGTCTTTAAATATTCAGAAAACTGATTTATATTGGTAAATCGTTTCGATTCTGTTGCTTCGAAATTTTCACATATTGCTTTTCCGATCTGTTTTTTATAAAATATCTAAAACAACAATGATATTAGGACAAGATTTTTAATAACGTGCTCTAGGTATTATTAACGACAGTTCATTTTAAATGGTTTTTGGTTTTGGCTGAAAATGATCGATGCTATTTTTAATGGATTTTTTTAGTTCAATATCCAGGGTGCGTGTATATCAACAAAGAGTTAATTCTGCTGCCAAAGCGAGCACCAGGTTTCAGTGGTATACAGTATACTTCGCCATAAAAGAAATATTAAACCATTTACTGCAAATTTCCTTTTATCCTTCATTCATACGACTTCAACTAATTTGAAGTTCAACCTATTAAATTACATATTAAAATCTGTAATTTTATCAAACGACGAAGACTTTTTTACCCATTTATGATACCCATCCCATTTTTAATGGTTTAATCGGAAAGGGACGAAAACACTAAACTCATCAGTTTACGAAATTTTGATAATCAATATTTCTGATCTTGGAAATGACACTCTAACTTAGATTAAGTTGTCATATTTTGTTTTTCTAGTGGATTGTAGTGTTTTTTATTTTAGCCGATGATGTCATCAGAAAATACCGGSCCAAGAAAGAAAACGCGCGCTAGCGATTGGCTAATGTCTAAGCCAATCGTTTTTGGCGTCATTTCATTTGTCGTGGTTTTCGAGTTTCAGAATTTGATGTTTCTTTCATTTAATCGTACACTTAGTTTTATTATTGCCATTTAAAACGACTAGAAGGGAGTAGAAAATTGCTAGTAGAATTTCATTTCCAGAAACGATAATTTAGTGAGTTCTATTTGATTATTTTCATTTACATTTCAACTTTTTTCAAACTCTCTTCAACTGGCGGGAATTAAATTAAAACTGACGAATGTGTCTAGCCTCCTCTAGTCACAATGAATGTCTGCTACACCGTCATAACCTATAGCTTCAAAGATTTTCGTAAAATAATATAAAGGAAGCTAGTGCGCATGACGCCATGAAACATAATTTGAGCCCACGAGCCCCACAAAACCGCTGAAAAACCTTCAAACTTTTATTGAGGAACCATACACGTATTGAACTTCAACGGGGCAAGTCTTTAAAGTGCTACTTGGGTTAAATAATTAAATTTAAAGATATTTCCTCGATACTGTAATGCGAAGTAATATTTTTATGCTTGAAAACGTCAAGATCAATGGTCATGTACGGAAATTCAAAGGGGCAAGAAAACACGAAAGCTCACCTCCTTGACCATATCTATAGGTTAAATACTATGGTTCGTTTATGAAGGGAAGCAAGTTTGGCGTAGTGCGTAGTTCTCGCCTCTCGCCGCAATGTTCCAGGGTTCAATCCATGGACAAGGCCCCGTAAGTGAGCTAACTTTGTTTATTCTCTCCCTTCGAAGGTTTTTCCGGTTTTCCTCCCGCAAAAATCAACCATTATTCTCATGTGGGAATAAAAATTTAAATAAAAATGAAAATTCGCGAAGCATTATCTGGTAGTGTGAGTCAACTGATGCCATCAAGCAAACATCTTATCCACGTACCCCATAGAAACATTTAGCAAATATGAGCCCTCGGCTAATATTTTCACTACCGGGTTTGCGGTACGTTCATTCACATCTGTAAGTATGTGGGAGGTGCTTATAAATTAAACACAATTATTCTTTCTTTCTTTCTTTCTTTCTTTCTTTCTTTCTTTCTTTCTTTCTTTCTTTCTT